CCAGGTCACCTCTTCAGCAGCAAAACTCCAGCCTTCTTTCTTAAACTAGAATGGGCATTGTTTAAAGACAAAATGAGGAAAACCTGGTAAGTTATAGACTGAATAGCAGCAGCATGATTTTCTATTAATCCAGGCACCTGCAAGGAATCAAAGCAAAAGGCATCAGTATTTTTGGAAAATGAGACTGAGGATGTGAAGCAAGGAGCCAGCAGTCACGAACTGTTTAATTCATGCTGATTTTCCCAGAACTGTATCTGAGGAGGATGTCACACTTTTCCGTTCTCAAGTACAACCTTTTCTCCGAGTGCACCAGCAAGTTTCACCTCTTCTGACACTGTACTCTCCCGTGAGTTATTTATAATCTCCTGTTGCTTCCCGTAAGTAGAATTTCACTCGCCTTCCTTCTCTCTGCCTCGGATTGTTATATTCCATTGATACGCTTCTGCTCCACATATAAACCTTTCAGCAGCTTGTTTCCTTCCAGCTCCAAGACATGCTAAACTCAAAGGAGACCATTCAGAGAAATGGGAAGGAAGCATTTACCCTTGGCAGCAGCAATTTAGGGTCATATGTAATATTTAATGTGTAGAATCCTAGAGGCTCAGCACATACTCAGACATCCCTCCTAAGCATGCGTTCTTAAAATCCTTTCAAGTTCACTAAAATTGATAGGTTGGTCTTTTGCACGCTAATATTGAGAGCTTTTCAGATATCCCTACAAGCTGCCATCATCATTTCATTTCTGTCTACCATTTTTGTTGTGTCAGAGATCAAAACTGTAGGGCATTATTTCTGAACTGCTCAGTTTAAGAAATACATGGAATAGAACATGCGTTGGAAAGACAGTAAGATTATTGCCTAAATTGCTAGATCTGTCTGTTGCGTATCTCAGACATACACGTTTGTCTTTCTGTAACACAAAAATACATCACAAATGCCTTGAAAGTCCTACTGTCCTGTTCTTAAAGAGTATTGCATAACTATTTTAAAGTACAGAGCATGGTTAAACAATAAATAAGGAAAAAAATCAATGACGTTCTTGACATGCTTCCAAGCATAATGTAGGACACAGACATGTTACCTGAGAATATAATCTCAATTTAAACATGTAATCCCTTCAATTAACACTTTGCTGTAAGTATACTTAGGTCTGATGCACGGCTGCACGGTTCTGCAGTTCAGAATGAACTTTTGTGAACTCCACTTCTTGTGGAGCGATATTTATTCTTTTTAATGAGACTATGTTTTTAGGACCTTTGCTCAAACATAAAAATTAATAGAGAGTTAAACGTAATAAATAAGTTTGAGTTACCTAGCCCTTATCTGTGATTATTACCAAAACAGCACTGCAATGTAAAATAAAGGGTATGTAGCCACAGCCTCCAACAAGAAGAATAGCACCCTGGGATATTCTTGATCTGCCACAGCTATTTTGAACCAGTTATCAGTTTAATCTATAAAGTTATCCTCCAGGCAGTTAATTGCGTGGTAACTACGCTCTGTGTATCCAACACAACTGATTTCAGTATCTCTGCAAAGGAGCATAGAACTAGGCACAGGGAAGTTTTCACTTCAGTCATCACCTAATTCTATCTGCCCAAGTGCCAGAAAAGAAAATTCCCTTTCCTCTACTGGCTGAAACAAATGCTACCTGTAACTTTTTTGGGTTTGGGTTTTTTTTTTCATTCAAAAATTCTGTTGTCTACAAAAGAAGGGGTGCAAGGCTTTAAGTTCAGCTCTACATTCAAACATTCTTACAAGTTTAGGCCTGTTTGGTTCAGTTCATGTGTTTGACTCTTTGTCATCAGTCTATGATCTGTGTTGTCGTAATCTCTAAAGCCCAAGTAGATATGCCAAGAAGTGGACTCAAATTTTCACAATGCAGGGCTTAGATTCAAGTCTCTGCTTTATCTGCTGCCTTGGCACAATCCAAGAAAACTTTCAGCAAAATCTGGAAGGTAAAATATGAACATTGGGACATCAGTTTCTTTTCCTTTTTCAGAGAAGTTTCTCTAAGTTGAGGGAAAATTATGTCACATTTTGATTTTTTTCTTGGATGGCTTCTCTCCAAGATGGCTTGCACCCAGATTCTTCTAAACTTTTCACTTCTGAGAAAGATATGTCTCATGTCAGAAGGATAAAAGCTCATGTCAAGAAGTAGAGCAGAACACGGTAATCTGAACATTCTTTAACAGTGCAGAATTTCTGATTGCAACAGCTACAAATAACCTATGGGAAACACTAATAGGAATTGTTTACTCAAGAATACTTCCCGTGGCTCTGCGGTTCATCCAGGTGCACAAGCTCTGCTTTTCACAGAACATTAATCTCGGTTTCTATCTGTTACTTTGGATTTCTTGTCAACAGATAACCCAAGCCAAGAAGATCTAAGCCTAAGTTTTGTAAACAAGTAACTTAGGACTTGCCTTCTACTGAACAGGAAGAAAAAAGCCAAACCAGAAGGTGCTATGTAAAGACCAACGGATGGGTAAGGGTACAAGTTTATATTATTATCATTGACCATATTTGACACAAACAAAAATAGGAATCACTGTCTGTTATCAGACCTGCATGCACTGCTCTGCCCAATCTACCTTACCAGAATAAATTGTCCCAATAGCACACTAAGATACATTCTCATTTCCCACCTGTTCTGGGTTAGGGTTTTTTTTTGGGGGGTAATGCCAAGATCAAAATCATGCCTCTGCTATTAGAGTACTTCCAGCAGTGATGCCCACTACAGTTAGTTCTTTTGAGACTCTGATTGAATAGAGCGGAAAGAAGATCACCTTTTGATATAGCACTGATTTTTCTGTCAAAGCAGTCAGACACATTCTATATTATAACTATCTGAATCAGCATTCACAGATAGGGCTCTGAGTGAATTAATTATTACAAATCTAGATGTTAAGGGTGTTTTTTTTGTTTGTTTTAATCAAAGCATTCACAGACAAGGACTGATTTTTCTTTGAAAACAGCCATTCTGTATACCATGTAAGATGTTCTCAGGCTATAGGTTCATGTGTATTTTACTTTATCTGAGTATTACTCATGGTGCATGGATTTGTCACATAAGTTGCACAGCTGCACAGCTTGTATATTGTGTATGGACAGAAAAACATTAAGAAAAGCATAAATGGATGATGGATAACAAAGTGTATGATTGTCATCACTTACATCAGTTCTGGGGATTTCAAGATATCCCTGAGAATATCCAGTGTTCATCTGAAAATATGCAAATACTAATCAGAGCTACTTAGCACATCTTGCTGATGTGCAGCTGAAGCCTACTGAATGGCAGCTTTTTCACTCACAGAAGTAGTCAGAAGGTTTTTTTTTTAATTTTTTTCTCAGTTTAACCAGATCAGCTGAAAAATTAGCGTTGGACTTCCTATATGGAACTTTTCACATCTCTTCCGTTTTCTCTTGAGCAGATGCAAATTACATTGAACACATTTCAAATAAGTATATTTATCTATAAAAGAGACGGAATACACTTGTAAAAGTCAGCTAAACCATATTTTTTTTTTCTTGTTTTCTTGTTTTCTCTCCTGCACTATCAAGTGAGTTCTACATGTTCTTGGGAGTCTTGCAAGGGAAGAACTGCAGCAATTAAATCCTTTCCAAACTATCATTTGTTGAATATGTAGCCCAAAGGTGGTTTTGAACCAAAAGTTAAAGGAGGTAATTTACAAACTGTGTTGAAGCTTCTCCCATTCCAAAGCACTGTGCCTAAACAGATAAGCATCCTCTTTTAAATTTTGCTGAAAACTAGCATACCATTCAAACACCCATGTTAAGTTAGAAGATGCACATTAGAAGCAGCACAGCAAAAATAATGACATTTGCAATGTTATCTGGAAGCAGCAAGTACCTTGAAAATAAATTCTTCACTCTCCAAAGGAGGTGTGGAGTAGCAGGAGGGCTACAATAGGCCTTTACACAGCTTGCTTGTTTTGTGCAATTTATAGATTGAGAGGACACCTGTCTTACTGGAATAATACAGAGGTCAGGGAAATACAACTTACTGAATAAAACAACCATAGCAGACAGTTTGCTTTTAAGCAAAATATATTTCAGGCTGTTGGCAAGTAACAACCTTGGTGGTACTCTGAATTAATTTTTGAAAAGTAGTCAGTGAAAATGTGTTAAGGATATATATGCCCGCTTAAAGCCTTATTATCATATAACACTGTTCCGTTGAGTTGGAACCTCAAGTGAAATAGCCTAGGAAGTGAGTAAATGTGAGTCCTTCAGTTCCCAAACTGCAATAAAATCAAAAAGGAAACGTTTTGCATTCTAAAATGCACTCAGTTGTGATAATCTTGTCTTTAATAACAGAAAGGAAGGACTAGAGCATCTCCCTCTGTTCAGACATGAGTGAGGGCAGGTTGGATTCGCAAGGATCTCACACTGCAAGAGTGGGATTTATATCACCATTTCCTGTTGCAACAGGAGGGTTTCCTCACTGACATGCACCTGAAATATAGTACAAATAGAAGCTGTTATCCACTTCGAGATCAGCAAAGGTGACCTTCATAGCATGAATAGGAAAAGCAGGGAGAGAACAGTAACACTAAGCCACTCAGTGGTAATGAGTTACAATTGAGCTACATTTTTGAAATGCAGCTGGGTCTGCTGATCCCAGATGAAGCCAAAATTATTACAGTAATCACAGCAGCACAGCTACTGAAGCTGTCCCATAAGGAAGCATGCAAGGAAGAGAAGGGGAAAAAACAGCAGGCATTGGAAAATTATTTGTGAAATGCTGGCAGAAGAACAACCACCATTACCACCAAACCCACGTGCATTCCCATAAAGATGGCAGGTATACGCCCATACCTGCAGGCAGGCATCATCAAGAGGCCAGCTCCCAGCTGCTGTTGGTATCTAATCGAAAGGTCAGCAGTAACAATAATAAAAAAATAATAATAATTATCTGAAACAACGGTATTTTCTTAGATGCTAAATTATTTATTCCACCCCAGAGCACCATCCGACAGCAGGGGGGCCCATGGAGTCCCTCCTGCAAAAATGGTAAGACACAAAACAAGTTTAGAGTAAAATCTGTAACATTGTGAAAGAAAGAACAAATAAATAGAAACAGCTTTTCTAATTATACAACTGACAGGCAGTTGTCCCTGCAAACCATAAAGTGGAGAATCATCTAATAAAATCTTTCCTTCAAAGAAAAATAGCCAAAATGCTAAAGAAATAGAACAAAACATAGAATTGTATTTTTATTATATCTATATTATTAACATAGAATTGGGAGCAGCTGCTCAGTTTTTCCATGTCAATTCAACCTGTCAGTGTCAGATAAATCCACATAAATGACAATTTACATTCTACTTAAGTTAGTGAAAGTCAGTGGTTAGCAGCAATTTATATAGTACATGCTTTTACGGTCCTCTTGTTGCTGAAAGACTGCCAGAGAAACTCGATAAAGGGGGTCTGCTTTCACCCTACAGGATCTGCAGTTTTATATTAGGTTACAAGGAAGAGGAACATACGAATGCACACTTCAGTGCAACAGCAATGATGAAGCCAGAGTAAGAACAAAGAAAAACTATGAGAAATTAAAAATGAGAGCTCAAATTGTCAATATAAAGATGCTAACAATATCCACAGGATACTAAACTACTATAATAAACTTGTGCTGTAAAAGTATGCAGTAAGCATTGGGCTATCACGTCCTTTTTTTGTCAGAGTGGAGGAAGCTAGAAGGAAATCATCATAATCTAATATAGGTGACATCTTTGATAATTACTTAAAAAAATTGAAGTGTCATTTATTCAAAACTAACATAATAAGCGTTACTTAATGTCACAGTAGTTCTCATGGGGAAAAGAGATTTATTTTTCTTGGTTTACAGCTGTAGGCTTTGCATAAATATTCCACAGTAACTGCATTTTAAGAGATTGAGTGGTTTTATATCCAATATTCTCAAATCTATCAAATATTAAATCCCACAATGCTTTTTAAAATGTAAGTCTCTATTACACCTCTTTGTACATGTGATACTGACACTCACTTGAAGGACAGAGAATTGATGTTAGCTCGTCCAGATAATGCATTCACACTTTTCCAAGGAGTGGGAAACAACTTGGGGTTTACAAAAAGACCAGTCATGTTTCAGCTACTAAAAATTTCCTTCTCTCTTCTGAGAAATGTAATTTTACGTTACACACTTGTAAACAGAGAAATCCAGGCAGAAAGAACTTTCATATGAAATAGTAATTCCCATAATTCAGAGCAAAGAGCTCAAGTGTATGACACGAATACAGATCTGTTTGTTTCCTGGAAGGACAAACACTATGTAAACTATGTGTGTACACACATATATATTTTCTAAACAGAAAACTGACTCATGATAGCTAATTGTTGTAACGAACTCCAAAAAGCAGGGAACCAATCTAATATTCTATCGTGCCTCTCCTCAGGCATTCTCTGGGTACAAAAGTGTTCCTCAAAACTCATCTTTAATGTTGAAATGTGGCTGATCCTCAGGCTTAAAGTCTAGATTGGGGCTGCCATCCTCATTCAGAATTCGTCGAGAAGTATAGCCAACAATTGGGTATTTGGCCTTATAAACATTATTGAAGATATCATCCAGGGACTTCAGTTCCTCTTCTGTGAGTCCTGTCTAAATGAAATACGGAAATTAAAGTCCTCTCAAAGAAATAAATACAGATATTTACAGGCATTTTTCTTTTTTATTGATTACTATAAACCTTAGGGTCAGCTTTTGCGCTTACTTTGCAGAGCATGATTAACAAAATTGGTAGTATAACCTGTAATTTTATCCTTTTCATTCAAATTCAGCCTTGACAAAACTTTAATATATTCAGGTCAAACAAACTGTTAATCTCCCTTCATTTTCCCTGCATAAGTAAATCACACCTCAAAAGAAGCAATAACCCACTGCCAGAGTTAGCCTTCGCCACCATGTCAGCGACACAGGATACACTAAATCAATTGACAAAGAAAGTGATTTACTCGCTTTGGAAGCATCTTTTTGAACAGCAGGCAATTTTCCCTTTACGTGCTTTTGTAAGTTGTATTGATTCCACAGATGAAAAAAACTTTCCTTTTTAAGGCTGTTAGCACTGCACCTTTCATGAGCAGTAAATACATATCCATTTTGCGTATTTAAAGGATATTAATGCATTTAGCTTTTAAAGATGTGAATCAACTTAAATTAAATACAAATAATTTAATATTATCATTTGTCATCTTGCAGAAGAATAAAACTGTGCGAAACAGAATTAAACTAATAGTCCATTCTCTTACTATGTCATGCGTAAGATCTGCTGGATCCAGAGACATCTTTGCAACTCCTCGTGTTGAGTCTTTTCCAACCAAAGCATTGTATGGGGCTCCTTTTCCATAAAATTCTGTCGGATTTAAAAAAAGCATCCAGTGATGATCTGACAGTGTACAGGGTACGTTCAGCCTCTGCTTTTCACCAGCCTGCTACACTTGTCAGTGAACTGAAAGCAACGACTCAAGTCTAAGACTCTTCTTTCCAAAACTGACTTTTGATTTGCTACTTTTTGATAATACATCCCAGTCCTTAAAAAAAAGAAAACAAAACAGAGGCTGGGGTTATACAATACAGGTGTTGAACTCCTATACTGCAGTCTTAAAATTCACCTGTTATCTAGGGAGCTGTGCTTTACATTCTCACGAGAGGTTTGTAGACTCCAGAATTTGCAGTGGCAAGCTTTGTCTAACTTAGAATTTGAAGATCAGCCAACGTGTATGTCCAGACAAGCTGCATTAACAAGCTTAGTACAAACAAAGCAACAAGCCATTAGTTTGCTTATTTTGACATTAAGGCAAGTGTCCAGGACCCCTGTGGTCCCTTCAAACATCTTACAGCAAATCTGGATTAAGTAGCAGGAGTTCAAATTGCAACATCTGGAGTTCTTAGAGAAGGCACAAACAGCAAATACAGCAATAAATGTTTAGGTGTAAACGATGAGACAAGAAGCCTCACGAACTAAGAAAATTTTAAAGGAAGAAAAAAAAATTACTTAGCCCCCCCACCCTCCTTTCAAAATCACAGTCAACTCTTCCAAGAGTTTTGACCAGGCCACTGGACAGCACAGGTAGGCAAACACCAGCACAATAGGAAAAGATGAAGCTGCAGCAATGCTGATATTGTGTAGTGCAATACAGGTACATCCAAGTTAGCTTTGATCTTGTCAGTTCATGTACCCAGCGCAATAAAATGCCGTAGCACTGGCTGCCGTGGGGCCTGACCCCACATCTGGCGAGGACTCAGGGGTCTGGGCAGGCGTCTTGGCAGGTGTCTTCAGCATTTCTGTCGTCAGCGCCCAAGCTAACTGGACTATGCTGGCTTGTCTGTCTACATGTACTGTAATCTCAAACCAGTGTAAGTTCTAGGCAAAACCTTAGTGGGGGAGGTGTCTGAGGAGGAAAATTGAGTTTTTTAAAAAAGGAAGAAGTAGATTCTTTTTGTTGCGATTGAACTGCAGGCTTCTAATACATTGGGAATATTTAAAAACAAATGACTGAATAATAGCATGAAAACAAAGCACACAGCAGAGGAGAAGCAAACTCACCTTTTCCAGAAGTGACATCAAATACTACTCCCTTTACCGCGAGGTAAATGGGCTGTCCTTCCTGGAAGGAAAGCCATCAACATATCCTCAACGCTGAAGTGTAGGCAAAAGGCAATTAGTTTTAGCTATGAAATCCATAAGCGTTCAGAACACAAAGAAAATGAAATTCTCTCTCCTATGTTTTCTCATTTGTGTGTGTATACAAACATACATGTTCTCTTTCTTGAAATTTCTTGTTTGTGCTTTAAACCATCCCTGAGATTTTTGAGGATTTAAGCATACGGAATGAGAGAATCTTTTTAATCTGAATGTCACAATCACAGAAGACACGTCCCTCTCACAAGTCACCTCGTCTGCACACTTGCCTGCCTGAAGATGATCAACTGCATCTTTCTATTCCTAACGCAGATGGATATTGCCCAAGATAAAAGGGTGTATGGCCAACAGCATTCTTTATTCGATTAAGAGAACAACAGATATACATAAACACACACAAATCTGATCTGCTAACATCTGTTTTACTTAATAAGCCAGTGCTTCTGCTTTGTCTTTCACGTGCAAGACTTATTTTTAGTCAGATGCTGGTTAGTTTCTTGAAAGTATCTAGAGAAGACCCTGAGAAGATCAGCCAGCCAGTTGTTCAAAGAGAAGACAGATGTGTATCAATATAGGTCCTTATCATTTTGAATGTGAAGTTCTGCTGAGATTTCTGCATCACGGAAAGCTGAGAACTCTTAAGTTGAAATTGCTCTGTTACTTCTATAATCTTGTAGGGGGGGAAAAAGGGTCTAAATATATGGTTTAATGAATTATTAAGAGAAAATTACTTTGGCTCCAATTCATGTAATCTGAAATTCACTGGCATGAGTACCTCATCAAGCAGGCAAGGAATAAAATAGGAACGTGCCATCCAATTGTCTGGCACGTTCAACGGACGGAAATCTGCTGCCAGCAGGACAAATGAACAGCAGGCTAGCAACATACGAATGCCAACAAACTTCTCACAAATGCCTAAAAAGCAAGTTATGCCATAATTCCTGGAAGGGAGGGAATAGCACAGCAGCAGAGCACGAGAAAACCAAGTTTTAATGTGGTTTCAGGGCACCGATCAGCAGGGAAGGTGGCGACGCTGGGGGCTGTGCGGGGCGACGCCGCGTCCGCACCAGCCCGGCCCCGCGGCTTTAAAGAACCGGCCGGGGAGA